TGACAGCTCCTCTCCAACACTCTCTCCTACTCTCTCTCCCTGCCTTTCTGACGAAGAGCTGAAATTGCACCGGCGTTAGAGCTCCCATGCCCTGCAAGAGTCGCTCAAACGGCATGTCACACTGTTGCCTCCCGCAAGAGAATGCTAGCAGCGCACGCGAGTGCCTTCACGCATCATGCCCAACATGTTTCTTTCTGGTTGTAATACTGTCAATCTTCGCATTTCTGGAAAAATTGCACGGTTTTGGATGCCCACAGTGGAGCAAAAACAAATCCTGAGGTTTCGACCTGAGCGGCACGCGGAACTCATTGACTTTTGGCCCTTCCATCATGGTTATACGATTTGTATGGGCCTTACCATAACCCGTAGCAGAACCACCTCCTCAAACGGCCACAGGGCGTTGGGGCGCTTTGAAAAATGGAGACCATCAAAACCAAACCTCTGGAAGATGGCTTTACATCCCCTCAGAAGGCCCCTAAAATCGAGGGTACCCTTTTGAGCTTGGTTTAGACGGGGAGCCAACAGGAAATCCCGCAATTTTGGGACTCCCAGTTTGGCTATGTACGAAAAAAAACAGGGCTTTGGACCCCCAAAACAGATTTTGGCTTTCCTGTCGGTTTCCGGGTCAAACAACTTGTTGTGGTTTTTTGGATGGTATCGGCGTTGGAGCCAACAGGAAACCCTTTTTGGGAGCTTCCCCTCTTTCGAGACGCTCCCCACATGGAGCACGCGCCGCGTTTGCCGCGCGAGCGGCCGGGCCTGTGAGTCCAGACCGGCGAAGAGCGCCTTGGGCGCCTCCACGTGGGTCACCAGCTCAAGATGCGCCTCCAAAGCGCGGCGCCCGTTTCAGGCGACACCGCCCTTTTGGGGGGTGAAAAAAAAAGAGGAGGCACGGGTTTTAAAAAAAGGCAAGCACAAGGGAGAGAGTTCTTGCTTACCTTGGTAACAACTTCCGCACGCACACTTCCAGGAGGGGTCCATTTCATTCCCCAATCAGCTGACCTGGGTTCAAGTCTACCCTGAGTCACACAGGGAAAACTGCATTCCCCAATCAGGTCCCCAACAGCAACCCCCTTTGCACCCGTTCCAAAACACGAAAGGTCCGCTCCCCAGGGCCCCAAAAAGGCTGCCTTTCAAGTCTTATGGACCCTTCACCTGTCGACAAAACTTCTGTCAATCCTCCTCGATACGGGCTTCCAGCTGCTCAGGAGTTAGCCTGGCGGGCACCCGACGAATGGGGCGACCGCAATTGCATGAGTCTTGTTGCAGCAGCAGCGGCAGCAGTAGTAGTCGTGGTAATAGTAATAGTAGTAGTAGAAGTAGTAGTAGGAGTAGTAGTAGTAGTAGTCGTAGTAGCAGTCGTAGTCGTAGTAGTCGTAGTAGTAGTAGTAGTAGGAGTAGTAGAAGTAGTAGCAGTAGTAGTAGCAGTAGTGGTAGTAGTAGTAATAACAAATTATAGCGGTAGCAGTAGCAGTAGCAGTAGCAGTGGCAGTAGCAGTAGCAGTAGCAGTAGCAGTAGCAGTAGCAATAGCAGTAGCAGTAGCAGTAGTAGTAGTAGTAGTAGTAGTAGTAGTGGCAGTAGTGGTAGTAGTATTAATACCAAATTATAGCGGTAGCAGTAGCAGTAGCAGTGGCAGTGGCAGTAGCCGTAGCAGTAGCAGTGGCAGTAGCAGTAGCAATAGCAGTAGCAGTAGCAGTAGTAGTAGTAGTAGTAGTAGTAGAAATTATAGCAGTAGCAGTGGCAGTAGCAGTAGCACTAGCAGTAGCAGTGGCAGTGGCAGTGGCAGTGGCAGTGGCAGTGGCAGTGGCAGTGGCAGTGGCAGTAGCAGTAGCAGTAGCAGTAGAAGTAGCAGTAGCAGTAGCAGTAGCAGTAGCAGTAGCAGTAGCAGTAGCAGCAGCAGCAGCAGCAGCAGCAGCAGTAGTAGTAGTAGTAGTAGTAGTAGTAGTAGTTAGTAGTTACGACGACGACTACGACTACGACTACGACTACGACTACTACTACGACTACTACGACTACTACTACGACTACTACGACTACTACGACTACTACGACTACTACTACTACGACTACTTCTACTACTACTACTACTACTACGACTACTACTACTACTACTACTACTACTACTACTACTACTACTACTGATACTACCTTTACACCTACTTTGCCTCACAAAACAAGTCACATCATGTCACATCCTCGTACATTGAAACATGACCACCTCCAATCCCGCCCCCACCTCCGTCGCATGGCCCTTATCAAACCCAAAAAAACGATCAGAGATTTTGTGAAAAGCAAAAACATCCGAACCTGACGGGCAACCCAAAACGCGTTGGTTCCTTGGCCTAGCATCATTTTGAGCCTCAGCGCCTCCCGGACTCGGTGGACATTCAGAAAACTCAGGCCGGGCTTCGTGCACTCTTGAGCACTCTTGAGATGGGACTGTCTGGCCCAACGCCAAAGGATTTTTTTTGTGTGATTCCTTCCCTTGTCACTGAGCCTGTGGACCGGATGCAGCAAGTTGCCGCTGGCTTTGGTGGGTTCTGGCGAGCCTGCGGAGCGCTTCGGTCACAGCGGGTCTGGGAGCTTCTTGCAGGATTCGGACCGTTTTTGGTATTTCTATGTGATACCAAAAGTTTACATCGACCTCACTCTCGCGATCCTTCTCCAACACATGAGCCAGCATCACGATCATTTTACGACACAAAGACCAAATCGACCTAGCGTCACACTCTCTGGCCCCTCGGTGTCAAGAGAAAAGAAAAACACTCTGCAAACCTGGAACGTGTGTGATTTTTGTCATAAGCAAACGACACCGATCGGCCTGCAAGTTTTTGGGATGTGTATAAAAATGCACATGAGCCATAATAAACACCGACCGGTATTTTTTTTTTAAGAAAAAAAGGACTACCCAGAACCATGTAAAGAATTAAGGAGGCGGCGAAGGCTCCCATGGTTGGGATTCTCCCATACTAACCTTCATCTACCCAGGTTTTGAGCAAGTGGCTAGGCGTAGTCAGCTCATTCTGAATCTTGTGCCAGACACTGGTTTTGCTTTTTCGCTCCCAAGGCCCTGCACGGGTGGAATGGAAACCATAAAAACCATGGAAACAAAAGAAACTATGGAAACGATAGAAACTGTAGCAGCCAAAGAAACCATAGAAACTACAAAAACCCCAGAAACCATGAAAACCACCATTGAAACCATGGAAACCATGAAAACTATGGAAGCCACGAAAACTGAAACCATGAAAGTTGTGGAAACTATGGAAACCATGGAAACAGTAGAAAGCAGCGAAACTAAGGAAGCTGGAAACCGCAGAAACCATACCCCTTTCTGTTTTCGGCGTTGAAATTCCCCAGTTCGCGCTTTCCAGCTTTCTCATAGCATTATCACGCGCAGTGCGTCTAGGTCGTAAAGAACACGCTTGCTTGGGCGCAAGCATTCTTAGAGAGAGGGGGCCAGCTCAATTGGTTCCAGTACTGAAGTTCCTTCACTTCTTCTGACCATTCCTTGCTTCCCAGAAGACTGGCCAAACACTGGGCGGGCCCTATGGGTTGGGTGGGCCTTTCTTGGCGCTTTCCTCCCGTGCTCGCCCTCACACGGCCAACGGAAGTGGATCCTCGTCTTCCCCAAAGCGCTCCGTCCACTTCCAGGACTGTTGGAAAGAGAGGACCTTCAAGGAGCCCTGTTTCACAAAAGACACCTTTCGTGAGTCCGCGGAACGTTCAGTGACCTACCATGTCCCACAAATGTCTTGGCGCAGGGGCAGCTCTTCTTTAGCGGAGACCACGTGAATCTGCCACGCCTGCAGCTTTGGCAGTCGGCTTCACAAAGCGCCGGCGCAGGGCTCGAAAAACCCGGCGGCAAGCCTGACAGGCAAAGTGCAGGGGCCTTCTTGTGTGGCACCCGTTTCGGCGTTTTTAGCCGGAAACCACATCGAAGCCACTCATTCCAGCGGTTGCCCCTTGCCCCCTGTTTGAAAACAAACCCATGCGTCAAAATATGCTGGCCTCAAGGGGGCTGGAGCCCTTGTCGTCAGCCTTCACCAGCGAGCTTGTCCGATCCTCGCCGCCCGGTCCAGTACGACGTTTGCGCATGAGCCATCAAAACGTCAGATCTTGGCTATGGTCATGGCTCCTTGAAAAGGAATCGTCATGATTGTCATTTGTTGTCTTTTTGAGGGTCTATGACCCCAAGAAGTTGCTTTTGACCATGCCACGCACGTGCATCCGCTTTCCGTGAAACAGCGAACGGGCGACAAAGCACGCAGACATAGCACAAATCATTTGAGCGCGCCTTGTATGCCTAGTCGCCTCGCAAGCTTGAAAAGAAGCCACTGGAAAAGCCACTGTTTGGACAAGGGCTCGCTAGGACAGAAGCAGCCCATGCATTGGCATGGGGCATGGTCTGGGCAGCGGTTTGGTTGTCTTGGTGCTTTGGACCTTAGGGGGTAGCTTTCCCCCCCTTGACCTTTGAAGGAATTGGGGTTCCTTCACCCCAAACCAATCCAAAGCACTGGGGTACATTCATGTTTGGTCCGTCAAAAACCATCAAAAACAGGGTACAACCCAAAAAACGACACGCCCACATGGCCACAGGAAGCCTTGGCAAGCCACAGTAAGCCTACAGGTCCAGACCAGAGGAGATTGACCCAGGTTCAAAACATGTTCAAACAAAAAAACACTCAAAGCAAACGAACATGGCTGGCAAGGCCAAAAAAGCGCGTGCAAAAGCAAACAGAACAAACAGCAGGAGCTTGTCACGCAAACTGGGTGTCTTGTTCATCGGAAGCCAAAAGGAAACCGACCATGTTGGGCGGGGTCCAAGTTCCGATTTTCAAACCAAGCCTACCTTTTTCCTCCCCACCCGCCAAGGACACTCTCAGCCCACACCTCGACGGTCGCAGCTGTTGAGACAGACTCGGAGGCCTCGGGATGGGAAGCCACCCGGCTTCGAGGCGATTTCTGGTGGAAAAAGCCCCAAGCGGAGCACTGGATCTCTGAAGTTGCCCAAATGGTGCGAAACCCACTTCGCAGCCACGTTTGGAGGCCCAAAAAACGAAGAAAATGAGGGACCACTTTACAGGGACAGCAGGAAGTACTCTAACTCCGACTGAAGCAAGACGCTCAAAGGTCCGCAGCTCACCCGAAGCAAAAGGATGTGGACATCATCGGTCGGATTTTCTGTCAAAACATGTTTGGCGGGAGTCCCTGTTGATCTAGTTTGATGATTGTATTTCAAGTAGCCCATTATGAAAGGCACGCAGGTTCGCTGCGCGGCCAAAGTTCCAAGTCCCCAACTCGGACTCTCTGATGCTGTTCCATATTTCGTTTACCCTAAAAGGTCAAAGGGTAAGTGATATTTTTGAGTTGGTACCCCTTTGGGGTTCATTCGGAAACCAAAAGGAAGCCATCCCCTTTCAGTTCCTGCACATAACGAACCCGGGCATCTTTGGAGATCCCTTTCGCGGATCCGAAGTGCGAAGCTCACCGGCCTTGTCTGCATCGTACTTCTTTCCAAACGCCACGGTGGCCTGATCGCAACGCGCACTGGAACACCACAAAACGTGTCAGAATAGGAAAATGTGGAACAAAAAAGCAAGGGTTGAAATGTCCTCTTGGTTTCCCTTTGAACCAACCAACAAAAAGGGCGCCGAGCCTCAAAAACCATAGCCCGTGCGCTAAAAGTCTCTTGCCGCAAGATCTTCTCACCTTTCGACGAAGGCGTGCTCAAAACCAGGTACTCAAGCCCCAAGAACTATTCGAAGGGCGGATCTTCTCACCCGTTTAGGGCTTAGCCGTTTAACCGTCCCCGCACCTCCTCTTGCCCGAGTCGGCTTTAAGGAACTGGCTCGCCCTGTTCATCCGGCGCCTCCTCCACGGCTTGCGCAGCCATGCGCCGAAACTCCTCATCCTCCTGAATGGTCGACGCCAGCACAATTTGCCCCACACGCCGGTTACAATCATTCATTCTTCTCAACCAGCTTTCCTGGGCTTCTCGGAGAAAAAAACAACTGTTCTGTTCAAACCCCAGGGATAACCCAGTCTTTCCATCCCTTCCTTCCGGAAAACCCCACCGATAACCCAGGAAAACGGCGGGTTGAATGGAAAACCAACGTATCCTGCCTCGGGAGGGTCTGAGATTGCTGAAAGGGTGGATACCTGAAGGGGGAATTTCCCTTGGTATCACAGGTGGCCTTAAAAGCCTTAGCTTGCAAAACCTTGACCAGGATAAGGACTAGTCCCTGACCTTATTCATAAACCCCTATCCCGCCTGGATGTTCTTCATCTCCTGTTGCCATGCCTCCTCGGCTTGCTTGCGCCTTGCCCTCGCCTCAGCCGTGCAGAAAGGGGTTCCCTCGCGATAGCCAGAGTCCTTCTTCACGTGTATCTCTTCTGAACGTACCTGTGCTTGTTTGCCAAGTGACCCGAAATCCATACCATGGATCATTCCCATGACTGCTACTCGCGGGACCCGATTTGCCGGAAACCACTTTCCATCGTGACCCATAGAGTTGAAAAGCTTTGACAAGTCGGGAGCGTGTTTTATCCCAATCATCACACCACCCCCAACAACCCCCCCCCCCCGGAAAGAAAAAGAAAAATGTTCCCGGCTTCCCTTTAAGCCCAAACATGGATGTTTTGATTCGAGTGTACCCTTTTGGGGTTTGGCTTGGGACACCAAAGGGAAACCGCCCATTTTCTTTGGGGGGGTCACTATTTTGACACCTACACACCCTCCCAACATGGAACCCGGCTCCACGTTAGTGGGATATAGCCATTTCCCGGCTAGCCTCCTCCATCTCCTTCTCATGGGCTGCTTGGTCGGTCGCTTCTTTTGCCTTGGCCTCGGGCGAGGTGTCACCCTCTCCCCCACTAACATGGCGTCCCTGTAACCGGAACTGTACCTAGGCACCGGGGGCTGGGGGCTGGGGGGTACCCCCATTTCTGAGCCACAGCCAATAATTGCGTGGGCAGTCTTGGTTCACTGGTCGTCGAGTTCCGAGGATGAAACGGCAGTACGACAGACATAGCAGCTCGGGCTTGAAAGAAAGCTGAACAAAAGCAATTTAGGCGTCTCTTGTGTGTGGACCCTTTGCGGAGTTGATAAATGCGTATGTTCACAAAGGGTGCGGTGTATCCTTCTTGGAGTGTCTTTGAAGGGAAACCAAAGAGAAGGTGTTTTTTTGGGGGGAGGGGGTTTGAGACACCCACCTCGACTGCCACCAAGCGAATCTGCCACTAGCAGTTTCCTTTTGCCCTAGAGTTCTAGGGAATCCAAACAACTCTAGGTGGAATGTCTGCCACCAGACGTCATAAGCATGCGCTGAGGTATGACTCTCGAAGCTTGGCTGAAACCAAGCCCGAAAGTTGCAACCAAACTTGGTCCCCAAAACATGTGGACACGCCCATTTGCTTCGGAACACTCCCCTGCCCCTCTCGTCCCTTCGGTTTCGTCTCAAAAATCAGGGACCTCCCCCCCCCAAAAGCTCTCCACGTGTCCCCTTGCTTTCTCCCGAACACCCAACCCCAAAACAAGAAACAGGCGCCTTGCGCCAAACGCCGGAAAACGCGCGCGCGCGCCTCGAGCTGGGCGAGGTCATCTTCGGCCTGCTTCACCTTTCCGTAGGTGTCCTCCATCCGCTCCTGCGCCTTGCGAACGTCGCGATACGAACGCCACCCGGCGTTCGGGCTGATAAAGCGAAAACCTGGTGGTTCTGGTGTTTGGACAGGTCCGATGTTTTGGTCAGGGCTTGGAATTGTGAACTGTTTAGGATGTGCCTTTGGTCACTGTACTTTGGACAGGAACCTTAAGTGGCAACTATCCTTTGGATTCATGTCCACCGACCGCTTCAAGGCGTCTTTCCCTAGAAAACCCTTTTGTTTCCCCGAAACCAACGGGATACCCATTCGAGCTGACTTGTTCCCAGCCCAGACTCACCCTGGCCAAGATCATGCAGCTTAAGCGCAGCTCAAGCGGCAGATTCGGATCCAGCGAGGGCAGCGGCGTATCATTTGGTCAACTGGAAAGAAAGAAAGCCGCTGCGGCCAAGAGGGAGCCCTCTGAACACTAGCACAAACGGGGCCGTCTCTCTTTGGAGGGTACCCTTTTTGGGGTGGGTTGGTTTGGGGAGAAACCAACAGTAAAACGCAGAGCAGTGTCAACTGGAACTATCTAAGGCAAGAAGTTGTGTCTGCAAAACATATATAATTCAGCCAAAAGAGCCTGCGGATTTGAAAACGATGCGCCATGCGCGTGCTACGAAATGGGGCTGAAGGCATGCTCTTCGTGTCACACGTGGCTGCAGTGCCATGTGTATGAGCTTTTGTGCAGCCGGGGACTGCGATGCACATAGCCATACCGTCATGTCGCTTGCCCAACGGACACAGAACTAAAAGGTTAGCCTTTTGGTGCCATGACTAAAACTGGAACAAGGAGAAACTAAACGGTCAGAAGGTCGAGTTGCTTTGAGCAAGTGAGCATACCCATCCTTTTCGGCATGTTGATTTCCCCATCCCAGCCAACCCCGCCTTCTTCATCATCGAGTGTGTGAAAGGCGGAATGACCTCCCGAGGGTGGTGCACCAAAGCCTGGCATGGAGAATCCAAGCTTTGCGGTGCGTCAACGCGATTCCGTGTGGTGGAGAAAAAGAAAAGGGCACTTGTGGCACTTAGAATTCCGCTTCTCGAAAAAGCAACCCAAATGTGGTTGCTTTCCTTTCGCCTTGCTTAACATACAAAATTTCGGACACCGCGACGGCCAATTCCTCTTGAATCAGCCCACATCCATGCCCGGCTACCAAGGCTGGCCTTCATGATGTTCAAGCGACTGTTGTGTCGACGAAGCCTGCCGGCCCACCGCCAAGAAGAATAGCATGTGCTATTAGCCTGCCTCTCAAGGCCTTACGAGCCCAGTGGAGCCTACGGTGCCCCTGGAGAACAACATGGGTGCTGCGCAACTCTCACTGGTCAAGCACTTCGGGTAGAAAGGCTACAATAGTTGCTTCCTTTTTAAAGGTATACATATATATATATATATATATGTATATATATATATATCAACTAGCGGCTCTGTGCTGGCTACATCATCCATTCTCTTCTGGGGATGGTTTGAGAGGCGGCGGGAACCATCTTGGAGAACTCTTTGCTGTCCATCGCTGGCTTTACCTCCCTAGTCAAAGTACAAATCCTGGGCCATAACGGGGCACAAATGGCACCGACAACAAGCTGGCACCCTGCTCTCGTGCGAGCAGTCGCTGGGACTTCTATCAGCAGGATTAGTTGCCCCCAAATCCCAACCTGGGCCTGAAAGCAAAACTGAGTGGACTGTTGGAGTTCATTGGGTTCCCTATGTGTCCTCTTTCAACACCAAAATTCCGGCCCGAAAGGTGATCTTTAAGCCTTTTGGGGAGCTGGGACCATTGGTTTCCTGCCTGGTGAGTGGCTCGCCATCTGCGGGATCTGGGTTGTCTACGAAGAGTATCCTGCGCGAAAGAGACCCACACCGTCACACACCAGAACACGGCGCAAATAAAACAAATGCGCAACCATGTAATACTTACAGGCTTACAGGTAAGCAACACCTCAGTTTACTCAACTTTAGAGCGCTTTGGACTTGTTTGGATGTCGGTTCACTGCTTTGAGGCCGTTGCTGTTGTTCACAGCTTCCCCCGTCCTGTTCACGTTCTTGCCCACCTTGGCTATGCTGCGGTCGAACAAGCACAAATCAATAGCCAGTTGCTTCGACTGCAAGCGCGAGGGAGCATCCAGCCAACTGTGACCTCCGCAGCAGAACCAAAAGAATCACTGCCAAAGCCACAACAACCATGACCATGACCACGACAAAGGCCGTGACACCCCCAACTATGACCACCACCACGAAAACGAGAGGCAGCCGCTGAACTCGCAGATTATTACGGGGTCCCCGAAAGGAAAACAGCACCTTTGCCTGCTGTAGGGGATTGATTCCCTTGCAAAAACCGAGCGACTTTCAAACATATGGAATTTGTGAATTCTCTTTTTATGGGCTATGTCAACCCAAAATTGGACCCTTAGGGCAAAGACAAAAAGTCTGCCCCTGAACCTTCAAACGCATTCGATTGGAGTTCTGTGACCTTCAGGCCATGGCACCAGGGAGAAGATGTGCCGAAAGCGCCAGTTCAGCTCGTTCTGGCGCTCGATCCAGGTAAGAGCCTCGATCGAGAGATGGAGTCGGACATGCGACCCGCGGCGGGTTGGCCGTAACAAGGGAAACCAAAAGGAAACCAACCATTTTGGGGGGACCGCTATTCTGGGCATATGGGCCATCATATGGGTGTGTGTGTGTGAAGGGCGGCTGGGTGGTGTGTTTTGTTTGAGGCTCAGTGTCCCTTCGAGGTGGGTTTACATGGAAGCCAAAAGGAACACGACCTGTTGGGATGGGAGGTCCCCCTATTTGGACACACACCCATATGGAAGTCAGAACGCCTCTTGTTGTTGCAGCTTTGAATAAGCCATGGCTTTCATTCTCTTGGCACATGTCCACTCACACGCATAGCCCTGCAATGCTCCTTGTTCAGGCTTTATCATGCGGTGGGCGACCTTGTTAGAGAGTTGCAGGCCACATGTCTTCCCAGAAACAACGGTTTCCTCAGCTTTGGCCGGATGTAACGTCAAGAGAACAACCAATCTCTGTGTCAGTATTCATTTGGGGATGGCTTCAAAGGGAAACAAAAGGGAAACCGGGTGTTTTGAGGCGAAGTACCCGTTTTTGGGGTGGGGAAACCCAAAGCCATGTTGGGCGGTCCCTACAGACTCCGCCATCCGTGAAAGGTTCTGGTTAAGAGTACCCTTTGAAAGGCTGGTGAAAGGGAAACCAGAAGGGAAAACCACATTATTTTTGCCGGGGGTCCCTAAAAAGGCCACCCATTTTGAGACTCACTCTGTCCGAGTTGGTTTTTGCCGGCGACGAGCAGCCTCCTCCCTCTGCGACCTGAGCGCCAGCCGACCGCGGTGGGGCTGTGTTGAGGACACACGCGACTTGAGCTTGTGGATCTGTTAAAGTAAAAACCTAGAGCAAAACCCAAGCATCAGAGATGCGTTTGGGAAAATGATGGTTGTCCTTTCGGATGTTTTTTAAACCAAATAGCTTCAGCTCCTGCAAACCGTCTGATTCGCACAACTCCAGCTTCCCATTCGCTTATAGGCTCCATCTCGAAGGAATGCTGCAGGCATGTGCATAGCAAGGCAACACGGATTTAAGGGCCAGACCCAAACCACTCCAAGTATGGCTGTGTCTTTGTTTGAGGGTACCCCAGTTTGGTGGGATTTAAATCGAACCCAAAAGGAAAGGAAAACCACTACCGTTTTGCTGGGAGGGGCACCCTGAAAGAAGACACACCCAATATGGTCTTCCGGCACCTGGGAGCCGAGCACATACCGGCTGGCATACGTGACGATGATATAGAGGTTCAGCAAGCATTCGGTGCCCCACAAGTATTCGGTGGCGTAGATCAGCCTCCATCACAAATGATTTGGTCGACATGAGCGAGTGGACCGCTGGTTTTTGTATATTTCCGCTCATGGGCCCCTATTTGGGCCCCTATTTCCAGATGTCAAAAAACTGTTGCCCTATGCTTGTCTCATTTTTCCGCACCCATTCAAACGGACAAGAATAGCCAGGCTCGATCCTCCAACATGGCTCTTAACATAGAGGGGTCCAAATAACAGTGACAATGATAATGATGATGATAATAATATCTAATAGTAACAAAAAGTAATAACCAAAATAATTATTGATATTCAGAATCGTCGTAATAATGACAATAATAACAATAATGATGACAATAATAATAATGATAATAATAATAATAATCATAATAATAATAATAATTGTAATAATAGTAATAATAGTATGATTAAGCATAATAGTAGTAGTAATGATGTTAATCATGATAGACGTAATAACAATAATTACTATAATATAATCATACTTTAAAAACAAAGAATGATAATAATAGCAATGACAATAAACAATAACATACGCATTCGGTGACAGTCCTTTACTCGAAGTTGATTCGCATTTTCAAGATGGTGTTTGCCCGTGTTTTTCCATGGGCCCGTGGGCGAACGGGCTAGGCCAATAAGATCATCCAAAAATACCAGCCTCCTGTCAACTCAGTGAAATGCACATCACCAAAAACATTGTTTCCTAAGTCAAACTAAGTCGATTCTCATCTTTGGTTGAGCTCTGACTGCGAAACTTTTTAACCCGCCCCCCCTCCCCCCCATCCTTCCCCGCTGGCCTGGCAATGACGTCGTCTGTGATGCGTCCGCTGCGCATCACGAAAAACATCGCGTCCACCCCGTTCGGGGCCGACAGTGCCTTGGTCGTTAGGTCGCATGGCAGCGCCAATTTGGCATAGGAATTGGAACCCTCGAACATAGGTGGGTCCCTTTTGGTTTCCATCTAAACCCCCAGAAAGGGTACCGAGCCGCAAACAAAAACACAAACCTAAGTTCTGCTGGATGCAATCCCTTCAGACTGCCCAACGCCGGTCAAGCTGGCTTTTGTGGGGAGGAATTTCGTGAGTTCAGCCATGTCCTCCCAAACGGGACAGAACCAGAGGTTAGCTACTCTTTGGCCTTTGGTCAGCTGCCGACCGCAAACTGAACTTCTCTTGGCGAGCCAAGATGCGCAGTCACGGATGTTGGCCACAACCTTGTCCTGCAAGGCAGCTTATTCTCCCAAAGCCCAAGATTCATGTTCTTCATGGAACGGCCCGAGGTCCAGAAGATGTTGCCAAAGACTGCACGTGTTTGGTCCCCCAAGAGATCCCCAACCTCAAAAATGGTCGGGTGTTCATGTTCTGCAGGAGTGCACATATCAGTTTGGGAGAGGACCCTTTGAAGGTTGGAAAGGGAAATCAAAGGAAACCAATCATTTTGCCTTCGAGACAAACCCAGGAAGCTTGCCTGGTCCAGCTCAGTGTCACCCAAACCAATGGTGTCCAACCTCGGGAAGATCGCCGACTCAAACCCACGGACCGGTTTTCCGTCACCGCTTCAACGATGACACCAACATGGCCCCCCACTCTCCTTTGTGGGTACCTGTGATTTGCGGTTTAAGCGGTAAACCAAAGGGAAACCATCATTTTGGGGGGATCTCCCAACACAAGACACGCCCATATTTTCAGAGTCTGCGTCATTTGCCGATCAAATACTTCTGCGGACCCACTTGGGTCCGAGCATCCAAGGCACCCTTGAAGAGGGCGACTCCACCACATGTTTCGAATGGCCACAATGCAAGCCATAGAGAGCGGTGTTCTTTGAGGGACCCAAACCAACAGGATGACCCCAACAAAAAGGAGACGCACCCATAGGACGATCATGGGCCTTGAATAAACAAAACAAAACCTAGTCACAAGGCGCTAGTCACATTTGTTTGGCTTTCGGAGTTGGTGCTGAGTCGGCTTTGACCATCGGAACGTGCGGCAAAAACCAAAGGTGAGCGGCAAGACCAGGGACTTGTCCGGGGACTCGTATTTCAGCACGGATCGGCTGTTGGTGATCGAGGCCTCGAACCAAAAAAAAGAGGAACAGAACGGAAGCTGAACAGGCGATCAGATCAGCGCGTCAGACCACTTGAGCGCCAAAAATGCGCCCAAGGGGCGGTTCTACCTTTATATACATATAACCGTGTTGCAGTTGAGGCTTTACCTGGTGGGCACCAGCCGGACTGTACCCAGCCCGACAGGCAAGGGAGCCATTGCTTCTGGCTGGTTTTGGGTGGTGGGGAACCCACCGAACAAAAAGGGGCAAGGTTGCCGCTGAAGAATTGGGTGTAGTCTAGGTAGTTTGCATCTTGCAAGTTAGATGTGGAGGCTTCACTGAAAAGTCGCCTTGTACAGAATCGGCGAGGGGCCATGATTCTGGTTGCTCGCAACGAGTGCTTCAAATGGGCTTCGTTCCATATGGCCCGTGCCTGCAAAGGCAGTAATTTGCAACCAAAGATTTGTACATGGCCAATTGGAGACTCGGCAAAGCTCTACCAAATGGCGACTTGATATTGGCTTCCTCTTGACACCGGAGCAAAGAATGCCAACAGGCTGTCACGCTCAAAATATCATGCTGCCCCTAGGAGGGAAAATGCTCGTCCGCTGGTTTGGTGGAAAAAACAAATCTGGAGCTCGTCCCCCATGTCGCGAACCCCAAATGGACCACTACCAAATGGAGCATAGGCAAACCCGGAAAAACGAAATGACCAAACCACATGTGAGTCATACTCAAAACCCGGTACTAAACTGGTCTACCCAGAACCATGCAAAGAATAAAAGAAGGCGGCCGCAGCTATTTATGGTTGGGATTGTCCCTTACTAACCTTCATCTACCCGGGTTTTGATTGTGACTCATGTCAAACGAGCCCAAGCCACCGTGTCATCCCCGGCCCGGAAGTGATCGTAGCCCGCCAGGAGGTTCCCCAGAGCACTCTTGCCCGAGCCAGTCATGCCGAACATCATCACCTGAGAATGTAAGACTCAGGGCACAAAACTGGGCCCAAACTCTGGGGTATACCTCCATTTGCTTAAGCCCCCTAGAAAAAATAAAAATATGTCCAGTAGTCATAGATTCCCTTGAAAATCAGCAGGGGAAAATAGAACATATTCTTAAGCAAATGGAAGTATACCGATCTGATCCTGTGCTATATTTCCTCTACCCAATATAAAATGTGTCTGGAGACCCCATGAATACAAACCACAGGCTGCAGCATGCTTACTCTCCCGTGTTCCCTCAATCTCTCAACCTCTCTGGCCCGGGATGGAGGGACTCACATTGTGTTCGACTTGTCTTTGGCTGAAGTACTTTGCAAAATCGAAGAAGTTTCACTAAATAAACGCCTTTGCTGTAAATGAGATGTAGACATATATGTATACACATGTAATACATATACCTTCCACATGCTTGATGTTGCTTTTCCCGCCCAAAAACGGCCCCGCCGCAGCGTCCGGCGCTCGCTCGATCCAAAAATCATCCAGAGGCGCCGTGAAGCGCCCGCCCGGCGCTAGCCGCGGCTCGGAGCCCAGCGTCAGGGACGACATCCCGAGGGACATGGCGCCCTCGGCGCCTCGGCTTTTGGTTTGGAGAGGCGCGGCAGTTGCAGCCTTTCAGGAGTGGGCCGGCCTCTCACCGGAGGAACGGTGAGAAAGAAGGAAGGAAGGAAGGAAGGAAGGAAGGAAGGAAGCAAGCAAGCAAGCAAGGAAGGAAGGAAGGAAGGAAGGAAGGAATCAAGCAAGCAAGAAAGAAAGCACTTCCAGTCCCTCTCATGCCTCTCCCTCTCTCAGCGACTTTCTCTCTTTTGCTCTCTCTCATTGCCAAGGCGCCAAGTACCTCCAGCTGCTCCTTCATGGTGCAGCATGCCACACCCATGACGTCAGCTTTTCACGCAAAGCGCGCCAGATGCCGGTTTCTTAGCGTCAGGACGTCGGCCACGACGATTCGTTTGGGGGTGGCTGGCTGAAAGAGAGCTGAATACGTCCCTCCATAGGCATTTGTTGCAACTTTGAGACCTACCTCTTCATGGGCGTCTTGTGCCATGTACAGCCCGTCTTGAAGACTGGTCTTTCCAAGGAATCTGCATCTATTACAGCTCCAGAGCCAACCGCGGGCGGCATCATGTCTCACGAGGCAAACAGTTTGCCACACTGCCACGCTATGAGGTAAATATTCTGGGCTTCCACCTCTGCTTATGAAACAATGGGACCAAATGGCAAAAATCTGCAAAACCACGCCTTGACTCCGCCCTAACCAGCCAGAAGAAAAAAAACGGCGCCTCGACGTAGTGCTCCGTGAGCATGGCAGCGTCTCGCGGGCGATGGGGCAGCTCCGTCCTCGGGGTTTCGGGGCTTTCTTTAGATTCGGGGCCTTGGCGTGGAAACGAAGCGCCCAACAACTTTTGTCTTCCAGGACCTCTCGGTTCCATGTTAGTGGATGGGAGGGTGGACTTCCAGCATTCTTCCGTTGTTCATGGTATGGCGTCTTTGCCCGATAATTTTTGCCCAACCAACTGCTGGTACTAACCTGGCTATCCTCCAGATATGCAAAGAAAACAGCGCCATGTTCCGGCCACCAAGGCTTGCCTCATTTCAGCTGGTTTGGGAACTGCAGTGGGGCCTGCAGCGCGTGTCTAAGAAGAAGAAGAAGTCTATGCACAGCAAGGTCCGCGCCATCACATGGTCGACCCTTCCAGCGCGCGCGCAAGTCCAAACGCGACTTCACAACGCACGCGCGCGTGGAAAGCCTTCAAAGGCCACAGGCGAAACGCCCAGGACTGCTTCTCTGCGCAGCGGGCATCTTTGATCTGGCAACCAGCTGCGCCCTCCTGCACCTGCCTTTGGCACCACCACGTGCCCGCCGTTCCACCAGAGGCCACCCACTCGAAGCGCTCCGGCGACCTGTTGGGTGCCTCTTGCGGAACATCAATCTCCAACCGGCTCTGCCGCCCTTGGCTTGGCTCGGGGCGTATCGTCTTCACCCACCAGGCACACAAGCGAAATGCAAGCCGATAGCGAGCCGTGTGACATTCAAAGACGCTAGACAGGCTCCAAATGGACAAACAACGCGTCGGTACCACTCTTGTGGTCAGCCAGTGTGTGGCGAAGCCCTTGAAGAATGGTACTAAAGCTGCCAATAGGCGTTGTGGGCACTGCTCACGCGGGTGTTGATTGTTCTAAAACCCTCTGATGGACATCATTTAGGTTCGTGTCCGCCGACCATTTGGAGGCATTCCTTCTTCCAAAGAAAGAACACAGCCATATCACCCTTTGGGCCAGTTGGGAGCAAACCTCCTCAAAGTGGGGCCCTGAAGAATGTCATGTTTTTGCATCAAACACAAATATTTTATGCCTCTTTGGGGTGCTCAATGCCCGATTGATCCTAAGCTTTTCCCGCAACGGCTTGCAATGCCTGTATCTCCCCCTTTAAACATCACCCGCCAACAGGGAAGTCGCCAAAAAAAAGGCTGCCAAAAGGCGATGTTTAACACTTCAAACCCTGGGCCGATTTGGAGCCAAAAAGCTCAGGGGGCATCTTGGGATCGTGCAAGGTGGGAGCTGAGTACCTCAAGCTCGGTTTCTCTTGGGCCCCTTGCGCACGGTGGCACAAGTGGCCCCCCACAATCTGCACCTGGCAACAAGTGACTTGGAGTCAGCAGCCGAAAAGTGCTGGCCAAATCAAAGGCTGTCCCTGGGCACTTCTCCAAAAATCGTGTCCCCTTGTTGCTGGTGTTACCTGGAGCTCGTATCTGGGCAGCGTTCTTCATCTTGAATTTTGGGTTCTGTTGGATGAGTGTTCCCATATTTCACTTCTTGGACAAGTTGCAGGTGAAGCTCCTCTTGGGTCTTTGCGGAACGATCTGATTCCGGCAGGGGGAAAGGAAGGAGCCCAAAAATGGCTGCGTTCCTTCGGCTCCCTTTACGGTGTCCCTTGCCAGTCAAAAAATCGCCGAGGTGATATCCCCGGGAACCCCCCTTCGGAACCCTCCCTGAAAACTCACGGGAAGAAAAGAAGAAGAAAAAAAAAGCGAACGCCCAAAGACGGTCGCAGCGGCCTCATCATCCGCATTCTGGTCAGGTCGGTTCAGCTCTAAGTCCTGGAGTCGTGGGATTGCGCACGCCCGCGTTTGGGCTGCGCGGCCAACCCCTTTTAGACCAGCATTTAGAGGCAAAAAAGTAGAGGATGTCATTTTCATGGACGTCCCAAAAAGAGATCAATGGGATTCCATTCTGTTGCCATGCCATTTTGGCTTCAGCCTGGTGTCAGCACATACACATCCCATTCAGATCCGGTACTCCTTGAATTGAGCTATCTAACAGGCTACATCTTCCGCAATGGCTCGGGTGCACTTCTTCCAGCGACATCCGTTACGACCACATTGAATGATGGATCAGCCGCCAAAAACAAGATGATGGAAAATTGAATACGCTTGCTGGCCCTGGCCACACGATTCTGTATCGTTCGGGCAAAGGGACTCCTTTCGCCCAGCTTCCCCACAAACTAAATGCACCCAACTGGGGCCCAAAAAATACTGATGGACAAAATCTGCTTCGGGTTGGATTGGTGGTTCATCCCAGCAATAGGGCTTCATCAATCCCAACTCGCGGGAAGCAAATGTTGTCCATCCACTTTGGAACCCTTCCAAACAAAATCAAGGTGGTGTCCTTTTGGCTTGCCTTTGAAACCAGCCACAACCCCTCCCACCCCCACCCAAAAAAATAAATACATCGCATGGTTCCCCCTTGGTTTCTTTTCGGTTCACCGCAAATCCCGCGCAAAAACTCTCCGAACAAGCCACTCCGCCGCTCCCGCGGCCCGAGCGAGGCGCTCCTCCAGGGAGCCGCCGGTCAAGGGCGCCGTGCGCTGCAAGAGGTCGTACTGGCGCTTGCGACCTTGCACCTGAGCAAGGCTCGACTTGACGTGTCACCGCTCCCTTTGTGCAAATTATGATATCGTTCAATTGCTCCCTTCATGCAAATAGAACTCATGTGATGTTCGTGTTCAATTCATGCTCATTTGAAGTGTTATTGATTCAGCAGGTCTCCCCTTTCACTATCACCCCAGAAGGAAACTCGCCAAAGGAGTTGGCAACCGAACCGTGATGTTTAAAACCGCGAAACGGGAAAGGAAAACGTGTTGGAAACCCTATGTGTGTGTGAGGTCAAAGCTCCGAATCGGTGCCCTTCGGACCCCAGGCAGTTGTCGCTAACTTGGGGCCAAGACCATCCTGACCGCGCTTCGGCCGAAGCCCCTTGCAAGATCTCTGACTTCCGGCCACAGAACCGACACAAAGGGCGTGTTGGGTACCTGTCTGTCTTGCATGTGTGTTTGTAAAAGTGGCAAAATGAACCGAATATTTAAGCCAGTTGAACAAAATGTTGCCTCACCCCGTTGAACCCCTACCAAAATCATAACCTTGCGAGCGGCCAAAATAACCTTTGATTTAGGTGAAGGATATGGGAGTATCAATGAGTCTGGTCTGTATGGAAGATTTGCTGAGAGTTCCCTCGTGCCCGTCCCCAATAAACCAAAAACAAAGCCGACAATGTCGACCGATCCTCAAAAGTCCACTTGGGTGTGAATCTTAATGGACCCTGTAAACATCATGGTGGGGATTCATGTCCACCAGCGCTTGGGGGGTTCCAACTCTTAAAATTTATCGCCACTGTCTTCTTTTGAGGGTACCCTTTGGCTTGACTAGGGCAACAACTGGAAAAACCCATTTGGGTGCGTCTTTTCTTGAGGGTACCCTGAAAACCAAAGGGAAAACCCGCCCATTTTGGGGGTTTCCCCCCAAAAAAGACGACGCCCATTTTAAGACAGTCCCTCCGGCTCAGTCCCAGGCAGTGCACGGCGTCGGGGCGCGGTTGCTGTGGGCGAAGTGGGCCAGCTGGCCCCTCCGAAGCTCACCCGAGGCCAAAATATGGCCATCTGGGTCCCCATCTTGGGTAACCCCCCCCTTTTCTTTGGTCCATGTCAAAGGAAATCTGGGTGGGGGGAACCAGAAGAAAAAAACGAAGAAAAAAAAAACGGAAGGATGGGTTTCCCTGGGAAAAACAAGCTCCCTCTACTTGATAATTTCGTTTGGGTTAGGGATGGTGTCCCATTTAACTACCCTCTGCGAGAACCAGAGGTTTACAGCCCCAGTTCCCACCAATCCAAACCATCAACTAAGGGTTACCTGAAAAAGGGCGCGCCCCCAAAAGAAATGGATTTTGTTCAACCCCCTTGTGCAGGTTGGGAGATTTCACCGAAACTCCCTCTGCGGCCACTGACCACTGGTGGTGTTTTGCAGTATTCATGGGCAGGCTTCTCGGCCTGTCACAGGAGTTTCTATGGTTTACGTAGAGAGGAAATCCGAATCTTTTTCAAGGTACAACCTGATACATTCCCCAAATGGCCAAAAAAAAATGGGACCCTTTGGTGGACAAATTCGGGCCCACTTTTGGCTACCCTGGGGTTGATTTCCAAGGAAACCAAAAGGACACCAGCCCTATTTTACACATACCCATTGGTGTGAAAATTGGCCATGGGTGTGGGGCGCTTGTCCAATACAAACCCACCGAGTCTTAGTGGGCTTTACCCCAGTGGCCGTGCGAAATTAGACAGCGGAACATGCGCGGAACGTGGGATCTAGAAGAAAATAAAGTCCCCGAAATGTCCAGCTGTTCTTGATTTCCTGGTGTTTGTGGGAAAGGTCGAGAGTCATGCCGAGTTGACCACAGACCATGGCACATTTGACCCAAGCTTACCACAACCTCTGAGCAGCGGGCATGAAATCGCGCCAATCGATGACCTTGCTGTCCAGGCTGGTATCCTACGGCCCAATGGCTTGGATCTCTTGGCTTCCCTGTGAACCAAGTCATAAGGAAATGACAAGTTATGACGTTCCCTTTGGCTTCCCCTTTTTTTTCCACCCGCATGTGGCGATGCCGAAACGATTCGCCCCAAAAAGTCATCTCCCCGGGTCCTGGCCCGGGAACTGTGCAGCCCACAGGAACTCCACGGCCTGCCGTCAGGAGTTCAAACGGGTCCCCCAACAAAAACAAATGGAATGCGAGGCCCCTCCGTTTTGAGCCCAAAGGCGAGGCCCCCAGGCCCTTCTTGAACCATTTTTGGGTGGCGAAAATGGTAAAACGCCTCTCGCATGTAAAGAGCAGCCCGCCTGGTGTGAAATGTGGTTGCCTTGGCTGAAGTCGCAGCGGATGCGGTGGGAATATTGGGAGAGGATGACGAGGGGAGATGGAAAGGATCAGGATAAGTTCACATTGAAATTGGACAAATCCATGTTTCGTGTCTCCACGGATTTTGCCATGCTCGCCAACGTGGATCACCTGTCTGTGCACAGCAATGGCAAGTATGAAGCATGCAAGCCTTCAACCTGAACATCTCCAAGTGTCATTTCCGCAAACATACAAATGCGTAGTACTCAAAGACGAAACTGTCCAAACCAAATCCTCCGAACAACTGCCAAATGGATCTCTGTGTTGTTCGCTCGTTGTGTGTGTGTGGGTGTGTGTGTGTGTTTACCCAATATTGGTGAAAACTCTTCTCAAGTATGCGAACAAACCCGCGCCTAAAAAAAAGAACGCTGCCCAACAATACTACACCCAAACACAACACTAGCCACACCACACTCCCAAACCACGTCAAGCACCCACGAATTACCCTCGCAAAACAGCCCCCAAGCTTTCCCTCAACCCTAAACCTAGTTGCATTTGTCTACCATAGCTACCTTCACCCACAACCCCCAATAGGAGTAAAATTGCAATTTCCCTTCACCCTGAGCCTTAAAATCATGTCCTATCACCTGTACCTTCAGAAGCAGCCACCGCTGTTCGACCTGATTTCCAGAGCCAGAAAAAGCTTATCAGACCTTTTTCCCCTCAGCTTTCAAACTCTAAGGGGCCTCAGCCCAGATCAGATTTAGGGCTTTCCCGCCAGGCCACAGGCTGTCGCCAGGGCGTTGGCGAACTGCGGCTTGCTCACGGCGTAGCGGCGCTCCGGGTCGATCTCGCAGAAGGCCTAGGGATTCGGCCCGCGCCGCCCGCTACACCCCGAGGTGGGGGAATGTCCAGTTGGGGCAAGCCCGAAAAACCGGGCAATTTCCCCAAAAACTGCGGCGTCCATCCAAAAAAAAACAAAAAATGCGGGGTTGTCCAGTTGGCGTTCAAAAATATCTGGCGACAACATGACAGTTTCCCATGTTTGGTTTTCCTCGCATACAGCTTCCTTCTAGTTCCTGGTTTGGATCATTACCTCCCAAAGAAGAGCACAAGGGATGGTGAACCTCCCAATACCATCTTCTCACAGGCAAATGGATTCAGCACAGAGGCAGTCCACTCGGGAAGGCCTTTCAGTTGGACGAATGCCAGCGGAGCTGCTCTGGGGTTGTGTTTTTTCAAGGGTACCCTTTTCGGGTCAGTTCATAGGGAAAACAAAGGAAAGGTTTTGTCAGTGTCTCCGATTTGTGCAGCCGCCTGCGCCACTTTTTTTCTGGAAGCGGGCCTTCATCCAGCCGAATCAGGTGCCAGGCCCAACTCTGGGGCAATGTTAACCCTGGTCTGACTCTGCCCCATATTTTGTCTACTCTGAGATATTCTGGATATCGGTCAAAGTGGGGAAAGTCAAAACCGAGAGTGTTCTTTTCTTGGATTCCCAAAAGAAACAAAACATCCGAAAAGGGTGCGCGAAGAAAATATGTGCATTTCCATATTTGTGTGTATGTATATATATATATACATATATATATATATATGTATAATGAGCACCGTCTACCGTATACCTCGAGAAGAAGAAAACAACTTGGAGAAGACCCCAAAATCTCCCCCCGTCCACCCCGTCCATCCCGTCCCATCCCATCCGTGTCCGCCTTGCCGAGCGCTTGCCCGTTGGCCAGCAAGTTGTCCACCAGCTTCTTGGTGACGAAGCGCACGTGCCGCTCCTCACCGGAATCAAACGAGCGGACGGGCCCCCGAGAAAGATCGAGCTTCATGGCTCGGGAGATCGCGCCCCTTGGTTTTTGAGGATGCCCTCTTTGGGGATGGTCAAAAAAGGGGAACTGAAGGGAATGGTGTCTTTGCGGGTAAAGAAATGTTGCGGATAGTTAGAAGTTGCTTGGTGGGTTGGATTGAAGGGGATGTTTGGGGGGATAAACTCTTTGGGGTTGGGAGTGAATTGAAATCCCTCAAAATGGTGTCCCTCTTTGGGGTTGGTTTAAAGAGGAGCTACAAGGGAAACCATCCATTTTGAAGCTTCCAGAATATTGTGTCTCAAAAGGGGACAGGGTCTCAAACTGATTGGTGTTCTTAGTTTCCCGCCAACCAGAAGGGTGGTTTCCCCACAAAAGCAACTTCCCTCTCATTCGTGGTTCGGTTAGGTGGTTTGGAGCTTAGGGGGCGGCTTCCTCTACATGCACCAGAGAATCAAATCCCCAGTTCCCACCAATCCAAACCACCAACTAAAATTTATTGAAAAAGGGCACCCCCCAATACATGAGAGGTTGTTCAACGCCCTGGTGCAGGCTGGAAGATCAGCCGAACCTTTTTTGTGCGGCGGCCTTTACCACTCGTCGGTTCCTGGGCTATCTTTGGGAGCTTAGCCCTAGAACGAAAACATCTCCAAGGGTCCCAGACCGTTGGATACACTCCCATTTCCCTAGATGGGCATGAATCATAAGAATCGGGACCCTTTGTCTGACAACTCCAACAACCCGTGAGGTTCCAACTCCAACAACCCGTCTCCCCACTCAAGCCATCCATCCGTCATCAGCCAGGTCATCGGGCCAAAAACTGCACGCCCCTGCCACTGCCCATCGCTTTTGCGTAAGACACCACCCAAATTGTGGGTTCTTTTCCAGACGTTTCAAGGGCTGGGAAATGGAATGCGACTGAAACAACTGCCCCAGGTCTGCCCAGGCCAAAAAACGTCGAAAAGTGGCTCGCCGAGACCTGCAACCAGAATCAAAGGACTGCACTGCACACGGCAGCGCTTTGCTGACACCTCCTCTCCTGCACACTTGGCAAGATATGATGTGTCAGAAAGCCGCCATTTTGGCAGCGTTCCAGGCATTGTCCTTTGCCATGCTCATTGGCAAGGCCATGGGGGGCGACGGCTATGCGGTGCTGGTGTCGAAACCCAGTTCGCCCCATGTTGGGGCGAAGGTCGATCCGCAAGCCATGCACCTAGACCGCCCAGGTGCCACCCGCCTCAGTTCGCTGCACCTGCGACACCCCACCCGCATCTGTGTCGGGAGCCTCCGCGTCCGGCACAGCGCTCGCCTCCGGCAATGGATCCCAACGTATTTGGGGCCCCGACAAGTTGGCAAGCCGAAACAACGTTTGCGAGGGGCACACAAAAACATGCAGACATCGGTCACTAGACATGAAAAGCTGCAAGCTATGTCCTGCCTCCTTCTCTGCGCAGAACTCTGCCAGCCGTTGTGTTGAATCGATCCTGCCCCACAAGTGACACAAAAATAACAAAACACCGATGCTGTTCCACTCAGTCCTAAGCTCCCCGATGGAAAGGTCAAGCTTGGCAAGATTCGGCGGGCAGTGCTTGGCCAGCAACGCGATAGCACCTGGCGTGATGCCACCAGAACACGCAGGCAGGGTTGGGGCGACCCCGTACACGACATGTTTAAACCACACCAGTGTTTCACCCCCTAACATGTTTTGCCCAAGGCGACGACGGAATGACCACCACTGGATCACAATGCTCACAGCTTGCTTGCCGCGTCAGACTGCCAAATGCTCTAGTCAGAGGTGGCAAGCTGCTGGCAGGTGCTCTACCTCTCCGTACCCCAAAGGAAAGCTGCTACCCAAACTTGTGTCCCTGACTTATGGAAAGAGATCGTGGCTCGTCGTTTGTTGCGGCTCGGTTCCCCGATTTTAAGACACCTACAGAAGAAGAACTAGTGCGATCTACTCTTCACCGTGGCCCAGGGATTTCACTCAAACTCAGCCAAGCCACCGCTGCTGATGTCGCCTTCCGCCTTAGCCGCGGCTCTTTGGCGATGGAGGGAAAGTCTTGAGATTCATTTCACCAACACTTACCTGGGACGCAGCCAATGGATCTAGCAGGGACCCCAGCTGCCCTTGAATGGTATGGGTCTGTCTCATTTTTCAGGGGACCCTCCCCCCCCAAAAAAACAAGAGGAGCCCGGGAACCCAAAAGCAAACCAGCCTCACTCCCGTGGATCCCGTTGTTTTCCGGCTCAAGGGTCCGAAGGCAAACCAAGATCCAAGTTGTTCACAGTTGGGAAATCAGCCCCAAAACAGATGAAGAAGGGGAGCAACCGCGACTCAAGCCGGATTGGCAACCAGCAGCCTGTGCTCTGACCAAGCACAGAGAAAAAGGCAAAGGCACGGGTGAAACATGACAGGCCCCGCACTACATGGAAGGCACGAAGTCATCTGATTCATCATGAAGAACCAATCGCAGAAATCCGAAAATGGATCCGCACAAACTACCACTCCCAAATTGGAAGCAAGGCATAAGCTCGCTCTACACCCATCTGCAACAAGTCTGAGACACAGTGTTACAACACGATCTGAGTAGACCGGGGTCAGCTGTTCGGATGTTCATGCGCCCTTTTGTTTGGGCCGAGTGTGCTCAGCATATTCATGTCAACGTGCTTCCAGGCTGCTTCCAAATAAGTAGGGCGAACCCCAAGAGGCCACAGACTCTGAAGAGAGGGTTCGTCCTAGAAACACATTGGCGCCATTTGTTCGGGTCAGGTGTGCGGCAAAAACGACAATCTTGGCGCACCTGGAACGCCGGGCTGTTCACATGGAGCCGTGCACGTGGCCTTCACAAACTTGCTTCGTAAGCTTGCTTGGATTCGTTAGTTTCTCCACCTATTTTCCCATTCACAACCAATTGCAACTGGTGACTTTGTGGAAAGGGCCGCGCACGTTGTCAATTGGATGCGTGTGGATGGCAAGTTGGGTGGATTCGCCGCAGGTGTGTGGAGACGGGGCCGGCGCTGCGCTTTTGCGGGGGGCTCGGTGTGGACAAGCCTCGGTCACTTGGTGGGTCTGACGCCTGTCTGAAACAAGTCTGAGACACAGTGTTACTACACGATCTGAGTAGACCGGGGTCAGCTGTTCGGATGTTCATGCGCCCTTTTGTTTGGGCCGAGTGTGCTCAGCGTATTCATGTCAACGTGCTTCCAGGCTGCTTGCAAATAAGTAGGGCGAACCCCAAGAGGCCACAGACTCTGAAGAGAGGGTTCGTCCTAGAAACACATTGGCACCGTTTGTTCGGGTCAGGTGTGCGGCAAAAAGGACAATTATGGCGTACCTGGAGCGCCGGGCTGTTCACATGGAGCCGCGCACGTGGCGGTTGCCGCATGTCATGAGCGTCCACCGCGCCAGTCTCGCTCGCCGGCATGTCACGAGCGTCCACCGAGCCAGTCTCGCTCGCCGGCATGTCAATGTCACGAGCGTCCACCGCGCCAGTCTCGCTTGCGGGCAGTTTCCGCATGTCACAAGCGTCCGCCGCGCCAGTCTTGCTCGCGGGCGGTTTCCGCATGTCACCAGCGTCCAACGCGCCAGTCTCGCTCGCGGGCGGTTTCCGAATGTCACCAGCGTCCACCGCGCCAGTCTCGCTCGCGGACGGTTTCCGCCTGTCACGAGCGTCCACCGCGCCAGTCTCGCTCGCGGACGGTTTCCGCCTGTCACGAGCGTCCACCGCGCCAGTCTCGCTCGCGGACCGCGCCAGTCTCGCTCGCGGGCGGTTTCCGCCTGTCAAGAGCGTCCACCGCGCCAGTCTCGCTCGCGGGCGGTTTCCGCATGTCACGAGCGTCCACCGCGCCAGTCTCGCTCGCGGGCGGTTTCCGCATGTCACGAGCCTCCATGCACCGCGCCAGTCTCGCTCGTGCGCGGTTTCCGCATGTCACGAGCGTCTACCGCGCCAGTCTCGCTCGCGAACGGTTTCCGCATGTCACAAGCGTCCAGTCTCGCTGGCGGGCGGTTTCCGCATGTCACGAGCGTCCACCGCGCCAGTCTCGCTCGCGGGCGGTTTCCGCATGTCACGAGCGTCCACCGCGCCAGTCTGGCTCGCGGGCGGTTTCCGCATGTCACGAGCGTCCACCGCGCCTGTCTCGCTCGCAGGCGGTTTCCGCCTCTCAGCGGTTTCCACCTGTCACGAGCGTCCACCGCGCCAGTCTCGCTTGCGGGCGGTTTCCGCCTGTCACGAGCGTCCACCGCGCCAGTCTCGCTCGCGGAAGGTTTCCGCATGTCACGAGCGTCCACCGCGCCAGTCTCGCTCGCGGGCGGTTTCCGCATGTCACGAGCGTCCACCGCGCCAGTCTCGCTCGCGGGCGGTTTCTGCATGTCACGAGCGTCCGCCGCGCCAGTCTCGCTCGCGAGCGGCTTCCGCATGTCACGAGCGTCCACCGCGCCAGTCTCCCTCGCGGGCGGTTTCCGCATGTCACGAGCGTCCACCGCGCCAGTCGCTCGCGGGCGGTTTCCGCGCGTCCATCACGCCAGTCTCGCTCGCGGGCGGTTCCGCATGTCACGAGCGTCCACCTTGCCAGTCTCGCTCGCGGGCGGTTTCCGCATGTCACGAGCGTCCACCGCGCCAGTCTCGCTCGCGCGCGGTTTGCGCATGTCAGAAGCGTCCACCGCGCCAGTCTCGCTCGCGGGCCGCGCCAGTCTCGCTCACGGGCGGTTTCCGCATGTCACAAGCGTCCGCCGCGCCAGTCTCGCTCGCGGGCGTTTTCCGCATGTCACGAGCGTTTACCGCGCCAGTCTCGCTCGCGGGCGGTTTCCGCATGTCACAAGCGTCCACCGCGCCAGTCTCGCTCGCGAGCGGTTTCCGCATGTCACGAGCGTCCACCGCCCCAGTCTCGCTCGCGGGCGGTTTCCGCATGTCCCGAGCGGGTGCAGGATCAAAAAATAATTATTTACGGGATCAAAAAGAAATTATCGACACCCGGATCAAAAACAAATTATTTACAGGATCAAAAACAAATTATCTCGCCTGGGGGTGCCAAAACGCTGTAATTTACATCATTTTCGGGCAACAGCGCGCGCATGTTACGGCTCCAGCAGTAAAATAGACACTTTCCAATACAAGCGCAGTACGCGAAGGTCACTTTGGCAGCTCCAGTTCGAAAATCACAACTTTTCAGATACAAGCGCAGTTCTATCAACGAATCTAGCATCGGTTAAATGCCTGTAGGGTTGGCTTAAGGTTGTGTAGGGTTAATGTAGGTTGGGTTTCGGGTGGGTTTCGGGTGGGTTCAGGATTGGTTTAGGGACGGTTTAGGGTTTGTTTACGGTGGGTGGATTTAGGTTGGTTTAGGGTTTAGGTTGGGTTTAGCGTTGGTTTGCGGGTTTAGGGTGGGTTTAGGGTTGCTTTAGGGTGGGTTTAGGGTGGGTTTAGGGGTGGCTTAGGTTTGGCCTGGGAATGGTTTAGGGTTGGGTTAAGGGATGGTTTAGGCTAAGTTTACGGGTAATGGTAGGGTAGGGTTAGGGCAGGTTTAGGGTTGGTTTAGGGTTGGTTTAGGCTGGGTTTAGGGTTGGCTTAAGGTTGTGTAGGGTTGGTTTCAAGGTTGGTTTAGGGAGGGTTTGGGGTTGGCCTAGCTTGGTTTAGGGTTGGTTTAGGGTTGGTTTAGGTTGGGTTTAGGGTGGTTCTAGGTTGGCTTCGGGTAGGTTTAGGGTGGGTTTAGGGTGGGTTTAGGGTGGGTTTAGGGTTGGTTTGCGGGCTTAGGGTGGGTTTAGGGTTGGTTTAGGGTTTAGGGTCGGTTGAAGGTCAGTAGGGTTGGTTTAGGGTGGGTTTAGGGTTGGATGAGGTTTGGTTAGGGTTGCTTTAGGGTTGGTTTAAGGATGGTTCAGGCTGGGCTAAGGCTTGGTTTAGGGTGGGTTTAGGTTTGGTTTGGGGCTTGAAAGTTGTTTAGGGTTTTTAGGGATAATTTAGGGTAGGTTTCGGGCAGGCTTAGGGCGGGTTTAGGGTTGGCTTAGGTTGGTTTTGGGTCTGTTTAGTGTAGTTTTCGGGTGGGCTTGGGCTGGGTTTAGTGCCGGTTTACGTGGCTTAGGGTTGGTTTAGGGTTGGGTTAAGGGATGGTTTAGGCTAAGTTTACGGTGGTTTGGGGTAAGTGTAGGGTAGGGTTAGGGCAGGTTTAGGGTTGGTTTAGGGTTGGTTTAGGCTGGGTTTAGGGTTGGCTTAAGGTTGGTAGGGTTGCTGGTCAAGGTTGGTTTAGGGTTAATTTTGGTTGGGTTTCGGGTGGGTTTGGGGTTTCGGGTGGGTTTGGGGTTGGTTTAGGATTGGTTTAGAGTGGGTTTAGGTTTAGTTTAGGGTCTGTTTAGGGTGGGTTTAGGGTGGGTTTAGGGTTTGTTTGCGGTGGGTGGATTTTGGTTGGTTTAGGGTAGGTTTAGGTTGGGTTTAGGGTGGTTTTAGGTTGGCTGAGGGTAGGTTTAGGGTAGGTTTAGGGTGGGTTTAGGATTGGTTTAGGGTTGGTTTAGGGCAGGTTTAGGGTTGGTTTAAAAGTTGCGCAGGGTCGGTTTCAGGGTTGGTTTAGGGTGGGTGTAGTTTGGTTTAGAGTCGGTTTCGGGTAGGAGAGCAGGCCAGGAGACCAGCAGACCAGGAGACCAAGAGACCAAGAGACCAGGAGACCAGGAGACCAAGGACCAGGAGACAAGACACAGGAGACCAAGGACCAGGAGACCAGGAGACCAGGAGAGCAGGGGACCGGAGACTGGGTCTCAATAATTTGTTTTTGATCCCCTAAATAATTTGTTGAACCCCAAAATAATTATGATTGATGCTCATCCCGTCCCGAGCGTCCACCGCGCCAGTCTCGCTCGCGGGTCGACCGCGCCAGCCTCGCTCGCGGGCCGCGGGCGGTTTCCGCCTGTCACGAGCGTCCACCGCGCCAGTCTCCCTTGCGGGCGGTTTCCGCCTGTCACGAGCGTCCACCGCGCCAGTCTCGCTTGCGGGCGGTTTCCGCATGTCACGAGCGTCCACCGCGCCAGTCTCGCTCGCGGGCGGCGTCCACCGCGCCAGTCTCGCGGGCGGTTTCCGCATGTCACGAGCGTCCACCGCGCCAGTCTCGCTCGCGGGCGGTTTCCGCATGTCACGAGCGTCCACCGCGCCAGTCTCGCTCGCGGGCGGTTTCCGCATGTCACGAGCGTCCACCGCGCCAGTCTCGCTCGCGAGCGGTTTCCGCTTGTTACGAGCCTCCACCGCGCCAGTCTCGCTCGTGGGCGGTTTCCGCATGTCACAAGCGTCTACCGCGCCAGTCTCGCTCGCGAACGGTTTCTGCATGTCACGAGCGTCCACTGCGCCAGTCTCGCTGGCGGGCGGTTTCCGCATGTCACGAGCGTCCACCGCGCCAGTCTCGCTCGCAGGCGGTTTCCGCATGTCACAAGCGTCCACCGCGCCAGTCTCGCTCGCGGGCGGTTTCCGCATGTCACGAGCGTCCACCGCGCCAGTCTCGCTCGCGGGCGGTTTCCGCCTCTCACGAGCGTCAACCGCGCCAGTCTCGCTCGCGGGCGGATTCCGCCTGTCACAAGCGCCTCGCTCGCGGGCGGTTTCCGCATTTCACGAGCGTCCCCCGCGCCAGTCTCGCTCGGGGGCGGTTTCCGCATGTCACGAGCGTCCACTGCGCCAGTCTCGCTTGCGGGCGGTTTCCGCCTCTCACGAGCGTCCACCGCGCCAGTCTCGCTCGCGAGCGGTTTCCGCATGTCACGAGCGTCCATCGCGCCAGTCTCGCTCGCGGGCGGTTTCCGCATGTCACGAGCCTCCGCCGCGCCAGTCTCGCTCGTGGGCGGTTTACGCATGTCACGAGCGTCCACCGCGCCAGTCTCGCTCACGGGCGGTTTTCGCATGTCACGAGCGTCCACCGCGCAAGTCTGGCTCGCGGGCGGTTTCCGCATGTCACGAGCGTCCACCACGCCAGTCTCGCTCGCGGGCGGTTTCCGCATGTCACAAGCGTCCACCTTGCCAGTCTCGCTCGCGGGCGGTTTCCGCATGTCACGAGCGTCGACCGCGCCAGTCTCGCTCGCGCGCGGTTTGTGCATGTCACGAGCGTCCACCGCCAGTCTCGCTCGCGGGCGGTTTCCGCATGTCACGAGCGTCCACCGTGCCAGTCTCGCTCGCGGGCGGTTTCCGCATGTCACGAGCGTCCACCGCGCCAGTCTCGCTCGCAGGCGTTCGTTCACCGCGCCAGTCTCGCTCCCAGGCGGTTTCCGCATGTCACAAGCGTCCACCGCGCCAGTCTCGCTCGCGCGCGGTTTGCGCATGTCACGAGCGTCCACCGCGCCAGTCTCGCTCGCGGGCGGTTTCCGCATGTCACGAGCGTCCACCGCGCCAGTCTCGCTCGCGGGCGTTCGTTCACCGCGCCAGTCTCGCTCCCGGGCGGTTTCCGCATGTCACGAGCGTCCACCACGCCAGTCTCGCTCGCGGGCGGTTTCCGCATGTCACGAGCGTCCACCTCCCCAGTCTCGCTTGTCCCGAGCGTCCACCGCGCCAGTCTCGCTCGCGAGTCCACCGCGCCAGCCTCGCTCGCGAGCGGTTTCCGCCTGTCACGAGCGTCCACCGCGCCAGTCTCGCTCGCGCCTGTCACGAGCGTCCACCGCGCCAGTCTCGCTCGCGGGCGGTTTCCGCATGTCACGAGCGTCCACCGCGCCAGTCTCGCTCGCGGGCAGTTTCCGCATGTCACGAGCGTCCACCGCGCCAGTCTCGCTTGCGGGCGGTTTCCGCATGTCACGAGCGTCCCCCGCGCCAGTGTCGCTCGCGGGCGGTTTCCGCATGTCACGAGCGTCCACCGCGCCAGTCTCGCTCGCGGGCGGTTTCCGCATGTCACGAGCGTCCACCGCGCCAGTCTCGCTCGCGGGCGGTTTCCGCATGTCACGAGCGAGCCAGTCTCGCTCGCGGGCGGTTTCCGCATGTCACGAGCGTCCACCGCGCCAGTCTCGCTCGCAGGCGGTTTCCGCATGTCACGAGCGTCCACCGCGCCAGTCTCGCTCGCGGGCGGTTTCCGCATGTCACGAGCGTCCACCGCGCCAGTCTCGCTCGCGGGCGGTTTCCGCATGTCACGAGCGTCCACCGCGCCAGTCTCGCTCGCGGGCGGTTTCCGCATGTCACGAGCGTCCACCGCGCCAGTCTCGCTCGCGGGCGGTTTCCGCATGTCACGAGCGTCCACCGCGCCAGTCTCGCTCGCGGGCGGTTTCCGCATGTCACGAGCGTCCACCGCGCCAGTCTCGCTCGCGGGCGGTTTCCGCATGTCACGAGCGTCCACCGCGCCAGTCTCGCTCGCGGGCGGTTTCCGCATGTCACGAGCGTCCACCGCGCCAGTCTCGCTCGCGGGCGGTTTCCGCATGTCACGAGCGTCCACCGCGCCAGTCTCGCTCGCGGGCGGTTTCCGCATGTCACGAGCCTCCACCGCGCCAGTCTCGCCCGCGGGCGGTTTCCGCATGTCACGAGCATCCACCGCGCCAGTCTCGCTCGCGGGCGGCTTCCAGCCAGCCTCGCACGCCCAGTCTGCACCACACCGCCCCCCCCCAGCCAGCCAGTCTCGCTCGCGGGTGGTTTCCAGCCAGCCTCGCGCGCCCAGTCTGCGTCCCCCCAGCCAGCCAGTCTCGCTCGCGGGCAGTTTCCAGCCAGCCTCGCGCACCCAGTCACACCGCCGTCCCCCCAGCCAGCCTCGCACGCCCGGTCTGCACCCCCAGCCGGCATCGCACGCCCGGTCTGCAGCACAACGAAATGGAAATCCCTTCTTATCTCCGTCGTCACAGCTTGTATCGCTCCCAGGCACCTTAAGAGAAAACCTAAAGCAGAACCCAAGCATCAGAGATGCTTTTGGGAAAAACGGCTTTCCATTTGGCGTCGCTTTGGCTCAAAAAGAAAAAGACGCACAAGTCAAAGCTCCCGGGACCGGCTCCGGGGAACCGCGCCACTTCCAAGCAGAGCTCTTCCAATGTGGCCTCACGGAAGAAGCTCGGCGTCCCTTTTTGCTTGCCGGTTCCATAGGCGGGGAATGAGAAATGAAATGACCCCGAGAAAAACCATACTGCATGGGTTTTTTCTCAGGAATCCCTAGATTCATTCCCAACCCTCCGTCATTCCCTGCTGAGCACCAGCAACTGTTGCTTCCACTTGACGCTGTGATACCCTTCTGTGGGATTCCTTTGACATTTTGTATAAAAACATCCCACAAATGGTCCCAACCCAAAAAGTGACAGACCCACAGGGTGACACATATTCATATCTGGGTAGTGCATGGAAACCCCAACCCTTTGCTCGGTTGCTCGTGCAGTAAGGTGGACAGTCCCTGCTCATTTTGTGCCTACAAACCAGCTAGCCAGTCGTTGCTTTTCCACATCAGCTGTGACTATGTTTATGATAAAGTGTTTGAAATAAAAGAAAAACCAAAAAAAGATCGCACCTTAGGAGAAAAGCGATCGCAACTTAGCTATGGCAGATATTGTTCCACACACACACACACACCCTAAACCCCCCCCCCCCCCCCGCCGCTCCCCCCGGGCCGCGCCGGCAAGACCGCGGCGAAGGCGAGCGCCTCGCCCGCCGTGCCTAGCGAGAGTCGGGTAGCAGTCTACCACCAAAGGAAACTCAGGCGGCAACCGTGACGTTTAAAACCAGGGGAGATACTGTGGATGGACAAATCCTGCACCACCTAAGGAACTCTGGGAATACTGATGGCCCTGTAAATACCAACCAATAATGCCTTCCATGGTTTCAAAGTGATGAAGGATTTCGTCCATCCACAGTATGTGCTTTTCTTCTTGAAATATCCTTCAGTCTGCCTTTCGCTTCTCTTGAATACCAAATGTGTACAAACTCCCAACGCGGCCGCAACTTCTCAGTTGCCATCCGTGCATCCGTGTAAATCCAGCCATAGCCCATGGGCCAATTTGAGTGGGACCCTTTTGTTGGACATCATCTAAGTGGGGATACTCCAAATGAGGCGACCAACCACTTAAAACCCCCAACCACCACCACCCAACCACGCCCTCTCCGAGCCAAGCTGCCCAAGCGGAGCCGCAGGCGCCGCGTCGCGCGTGCGGCCGCCGCACACAGCGCCGCCGCGCCCACCGATGGCGAGAACAAGGCGAGGGACCTTCGATGCCAAAGGAGTCATCAAAATTGGTAGAGGAACCAACAGAAAAAAAAGAAGAAAAAACCGGAGTCACAACCTGGTACAAAAATGTTTAAAAAATACTAGGGTCAAATCCGATCGATGCAAAAATGCCTGACCCAGAGCCATAAATGCGGCACCGAGTTCTCTGGCGGCCGTCCCCAACCTTCGCTTACCCGACCGCGACCGCCTTGCAGCTTGGGATCAGTATGCGGGCACCGTGTCTTTCGGTGAAGACCGTGCCGGTTTTTGATGCGGGCGCCGTGTCTCAGGTTGTCCCACATGGAAAACAACCGAAAATTCACCGAGGTCTCAAGAGTGAGACTCTGAGAGACACCTCGTCCCATGGGGCACTGCTCTTACAGACTGGTTGTATGTGTCCATATACGGAACATTGGCCATGTTAGACCCTTTGGAATCTGCCAATAACCAGGGGCTCATACCAGGGGCTGAAGCCTTTGATGCGAGAATTTGGCCAAACGAACCCGGACTGAGGGGGACCTGAGTGGGTACGTGTCAAAGATAGGGGAACCCCCAAGATGGGGGCTTTCCCGGTTTTGAAACCTACCCTGAAACCCTGAAAAACCACTCACCTAGTGGGCCGATTCTGCCAAGAGGCTCAAGCAACGGCAGTGCCAACAGGAACTCTTCGGTGGGCGACTCCAGGTGCAACTCCAACTCCTTCAGACTGCCTTGTGTCGCTGGCTTTGTCAGACTGGGTTCATCAAAGTGTCATCCTCCAAATTACCTTCCTGACTGGTGGCTGGCTCACTTGCTCAAAGACCTGAAAATAAAGGGGGAAACCAAAATGTCAAAAGGTCGGCTTTCTGAGGTGGAAAGAAAAGAACTTCCCACCTCCAAATGCCGAAAACCGAAGCCCGGCCAAGCCTAGGGACCAGCCCAACACGACTCGCGCCGAAAAAGTTCACGCGGCGTCGACTCCCTGCGGCAAAGGTTCTGTCCGCCATGCAAAGTCCAAGTGCCCACATGCACCCTTGGCCATGTGTCTTCTGCAGGCTGCTTGTGGCAGACAGGGCTCTTCATGTTTCGCCCTGTAAGAAACACCCCTCTCCTTTAAATTGGCCCAAAAGGCGATGCACCAAAGGGAGGTATATAGGGAACCCTACTCAGGATGGACGAAACCCAAAAAAAAAAGAAACTGGAACGATGACTCCCCTGTGAACACCAAAACACCATGGTTTCCCGTGGTTTCAAAGTGGTGCGAAATGGATTCCGTCCATCCGCAGTTCAGCCACGCGCCAGCCACGCGCCTGGCAGTTGCAGTGCCTGCTCCGTACCCGCGGCCAACCTCCAGGAGTTTCGAAACGGAGCATGTCACGACGAAGAGTTCGCCTCCCACCGATTAACCGCCGGGACCTGACGCTCGGGGGTCCCTTTCAAAGGAAACTGGTCCAAACCAGAACCCCCTGTCAGGTTCCATGTTAAGTGGCGGGAGGGTAGCAAGTTCCAAAAGATTGACATCTGGTATGGGGCTATCCTTGCAAACAGCGGTTCTTGCGATTGCGACAAAGCACAAGCAAGACTGCGCACCGGCTGCACAAAAGCCTGCTTTTGATTGCACCGTCGCAACTTAAAGCCGTAGAGCTCTTCCAGTAGAGGAATAGCCTTTGTCATGCTCGTTTTGCGTCTTGAAGTCGTTGTGAGACTTCCCTCCTCAGGTCTACTGTGTTGTTCAGGTTGTATCCTCGAGGGGTCTTGTCCCCAAAATGAGTCATAATCAAAACCTGGTATTAAAATGGTCGACCCAGAACCATGTAAAGAATTAAGAAGGCGGCCGCAGCTATTTATGGTTGGGATTGTCCCTTACTACCCTTCATCTACCCGGGTTTTGATTGTGGCTCACATGAACATGCAGCGTCACGGTGCATATTAAGAGAGTTGCATCTAGCCTGATTGATTTTGAGCCCAGCAATTTTCCATGTGTTTTAGAAGTTCCTGCAGACCTCGCAGAGCAAGCACCGCGTCACGATCTTCAGGACGTCAGAATAGGGGCAGAAATCCTGCCTCCGTGATACTCACCTTGTTCGACAGCGCAGATCCGTCAATCGCGATGCAGAAGTCCCAGTTGAAGTTGCGTGCGCTGAAGGAGTTGGATTCCTCTTAAGGACATGACATCTTGCTAACTCACCACATGGCTATGGGTCAAAACCCAAATCGTACCCGCAGTGAACATCCCAATCCAACCACTAAAATAGGTTCTAAAATGGGTGGTGAATTCACCTACCCCAAAATTGGATCCCATTGGTTTTGACCCACGGCCACATGTCCTTCCCTTCCCCCTCCAAAACGCCAGCCTGAGCCACTGCAGCGGTAGCTGCGCCAGCGCCAGCGGCGCTCGTTGCGCTTCAAAGCCCAGCCGCAAGCTAAGGCGCTGCAGGTCCTCGCAGGTCCACTTTGGGGCGGCAAGAAGTCCATCACCCACCAAAGGCAACCAATAGTTGAATGTCCACAGCAGAACTATTGCGGGGGGAGCCCTGTTTGAAAAGGGGCAACGAGGAGCGGAAGTGGTAATTCTGTCCCAACGACAGCCTTTGACAACCTGATGTTGACACCAAGGTTTGGTTGCTTGGTTGATTAAATCGGGGCAAATCAGGCTTGGTTGAGGATGTGATTTGAGGAGGAACACCTGACAGCCGTGAGCGGTGAAACAGGTACCATGCAATCGTCACCCATTCCCTTGTGTCTATCATGAAGGATCTATCAGATTGCTCCCTGCAACCGAGTTGCAAAAGAATCGGCGCATTGCCTGAAAAGGGCTTGAGACACAGAGCTTTTCAAGTGTTGCATTCAACAGCGTTCACGAGCTTTCTTTGAAAGCACGACGGGCATTCTGTGGATGAAACAAATCCTGCACCACTTTCCAAACCATGGGAAACCATTGTTTGTTGATATTTGCAGGAGAATCATCGTTCCAGGGTGTGATAGGTGGTTCAGGAATTCGTGCATCCACAGTATCATGGCTGGGGGGGAGCTCCCTCCGAAGCGAATCCACCAAGCTCCGCTTTCCATCCTCCCCGCGCAGGAAGGTCAGTGCTGACGTCGGGGAGTCGCGCCTGGGCGAACGCTCTTTGGGCGCCCTGGTCAGAAGCCTGAGTTGTTTCGAATGAGTGTGGCTCAAAATCAAACAAAAAAGCCAGGCCTACGCTGGTGTTCGTCTTTGCTTCCATTTGCCAAGGTACCATTTTGGTACATTTGTTTGAGCCACAGCCAAATGGGGAGGATCCCGATTGTGCGAAAATCCAGTACTCCGTGGCACACGGATTACGGCAAGTCGCAAACCCCATCTGGCGCAGGGCTGGAGAAAATGTTGAACAAAATCGGCCTTAGAAATCTGGACCACCCAGCAGCTGTTTGGGAGGATTGCAGACGGCACCCAGTTTTGGAGACTTGTGCAGGTGTCTTGCAGCATCGCAGGCGCGACCTAATCTCGACCCAAGATTTAGAAATATGGATCACGTGGCGGGGGTTCCAAAGTGAAGAAGCTCCCTCCTGATTCTGGACACCTACTAATCAATCAGGGGGTTATGGCTTCGGAAATTCCGCCTTGAGGCTCCAGCAGATCGATCTGAAGGCTCCTCAACCCCTTGGGAAGCTGCCCGAACAGAACCCGCAGGCCCTCCTCAGACTGGCGCGACAGATTGAGATCCACCTGGCAGCGTGGAGCTTCGAGCTTCGTCGAGCTTCAGTGCGGTTTTGGCACAGAATTTGGTGAGCCCTCGGGTCCTGATGGCATACTTGGGGGGCAATGGGCACAGCAATGTCTGCTGCCACTAGTCACGAGTCGGTTGGAAAAGGATGGCAAAAGGTCCTGAAAAAAGCATCTCCATCATTGCCTACACGTGAAGTCGTGATCGGCCAGGTTGTTCAGGCGGCCGCACCCATTTATGGGAGGGATTCTCTTTTACTAGCCTTCTGGACTTTTGGTGGAGAAACCCCGAGCGTGGCCCATGTTACCCCCCTGTACCACAGTAGGCAGCGAATGGATCCGTGTTTTTTGAGGCTTGGGTACCCTTTCCGGGATGAAAATGAAAGTGAAACAGTCAAACCAAAAAGAATTGGCCCTTTGCCATTGTGAGCGGGTCTTGACTATTTGTATCCACAGGCTCAGAGCTTCGAAGGCCTTGTGGTTCGAACTTCGTGAGTTCATGTAGGAAAATGTTGACCAAGAGCCCGCGGCAACCGAGTGCGACCCATTTGTTGGGTGGGCTCCTTTGGTTTCTCGAAAACGGGTGTCCTCCAAAACACAAACAATGCATAGGCAAATCCCGGGAATTGGGACCCAATGCTCTACTGGTGCTGTATGCGCTCGCTCACTGCGCGCCTCTTCTGCGCCACTCATCGCCAGCGCGAGGCTGTCATCGCCCATCGCCAGCGGCAGGCCACTGAGCGCGGGGAATCCGATGACGTCACGAGGGGCGCCCAAGACCTATTGACAATTGGCTCTACCAACACGGTTAGAAATGGGTGTCTCGTTTTTCAGAGGAACCCCCCCAAAACAATGGGTGGTTTTCCTCTTGGTTTCCCTGAAAAGGCACAAAAAAAAGAAGAAGAAAAAAAAAAGACAGACCCAAATGTTTGTATATTCCTCACTATGAGCCCCGTGAAGCCAGCTAGAGCCATATTGACTGAAAAAGGCAATTCGATTTTGAAAGGCTCGTGTTTTTTGGAGGGTACCCTGATTCAGTTGTCTTGATGTGGTAGATTGTTTGAAGGTACCCAGTTTGGGGTGGTTTAAAGGGAAAGTAAAAGGAAAACCACCATTGGTACTCCCCCAGGTTGGACACATACCCAGGAAGATGGGACAATTAGCGCTAGATGTGGGCAAGTGAAGGGGATGACTAAACCAAAACGGGTTCAGCGAACTGCTGCTTCTTACAGGCAAGGTCAACGGAATTCACAAAAAGTGCTGAGGTGAGGGGCAAGACTAGCCTTCAGATTCGCTCACCCACGGTACTGGGCATGCTGGCTGGACAGTGCATGACGCTCGTTTCTTTGTTCTTGTTTGTTCGTTCACGCCAAGTCGGCCGAGTCTTTCAGAAAGTCGGTCGAGAAAGTGAAAAAATAGTCCCACTGCGCGTGCTTGGTTGTTGGGTTTCGTTGATGTTTCCGGTTTGCTTTGCGGGTTTCATGTCTTTTTTGGGGGTGGGACTTGATTTAGAAGCAGCCTTCTCTGCTGTACGTTTTAGAGCTCATGTTTGACTGATGCGTCATGGCTCAGTTTGAAGATGAGCACTTTTGCAGGTTTGGTTGCGACGTTCGATGTGTGTTTGGGGTAAATCTGTACTGCAAGCATGCACGCCCATGTGACCTTTCGCAGACTTGGTGTGTCAATAGCCAGGACGTAAACCCCCAGATCGGAACACCAGCAAGTGCCAAAATTCCTGAGGCAAAACTCCTTGCGTAGACCATCGTCTTCGGTCGAGAGGGGTGAGACGATTGCCCGGACACCTTAGCAAGAAGGGACTTGAAGCGTGGTCAGAATTGCATCGAGCATCGTGTACATTGTTAATAACAAGCTGAGAAGAAGCAACCACAGTGCACTTGCCATGCTGGAGAGGCAAAAGAAGGCGCTGCCGGCGCCCACAACTGTAACCACAGAGCGCGCAGATAGGCACAGCCAAATGCCAGGAAGGAGTCCAGGCGTGCGCGACACAGTTGTCCAAAAATAGGCGGTTCTCCCAAGAGGTGCGAATAAACGCCCATCTCGTAATAGCGCCACGAAATTGGACCGCAGCAACATTGAGGGCCTTTCGAATAGAAAGACCGTCAAGGGAAACCCAAATGTCAAGAGGGACAGACTCGAAGGGCCTGAACTTCAGCGAATTTTGAATGTCAGTACAAATAGAGGGACTGCTGGGAAGGACGCCTGCGTAGACCATCGTCATGGTGCTTCTTGGTGGAACATCTAACAATTCTTGTGTAGATTCTCCTGTGTACCGAGTTTCCCCCCCAAGTTGTTGGGAGCTTTGATGGCTCCCAGTCTGGAGCGCATTCCCAGAAACTGATGGCTCTGAACCCATGTTGACCCCCGATGACTAGCACTCCCCCTAGCTGTTGAGCAGATTTGTTGCACAAGCAGAATCCTCACTAAGAAGGGACTCCTTTCTCGACTCAGTGGGCATTGGGTTGTCACTTGCAAACAAACATCATGTCGTTTAAAAAGAAAAAAGGAAAGGGTTCTTCTTCGAAAAGAACAACCACCACAGAAACCCGGCCGTATAACCAAACCCACCGAGCCGTCGAGCCAAAAACAAACCAACGAGCCATGGCCTCAGATCTAGCCGCAGCTTCGGCTCGTTTTGGAGGCGCTCAGGGAGCTCCCACTGCGCCGAGCGCGACGCCTCGCGAGCGACCAAAACGGCAGCAAGGGACGCCTTTTTGGGGAAGCGTGGCCAGGGTTTGTGGAATTGTTCGGCTGAGTCATGACCAGAGTTGGAAAAGCTGGGCTGTTTCGTTGCTTCTAGATGTTTTGATGTGTTTTGCTTTTCCCTGTCAGTGGGGAATCGCTCGAGCGGAATGACAAGGGATGGTTCAGTTCGGGGTTCCCTCATTCCCTAGAACAAGCAAGTGTTGGTTTACCCGCAAGGGAATTGCGCCATCTAGAAAAAAAACAGCTCCTTAGCTCCCCACTTGACACACGTGTTAGTCAGACTTGGCTCCCCCGATCTCCATGGCCGTGTTCTTTTTGCGGGCGAGATGTTGCAGGGAAGCTCAAGGGGAAAACACCAACCTATGAGGTCAGGGGGAACCAAAGGGAAGCCACCAATGTTCGGGTTGTCGTTTTGGGTTCTCCTGTAACATTCAAATCCTGGGAAACTGTGATGTGTGTTTGGTGGAGGCTCGGTACCCCTGTTTTGATTTTCGGGGGGGTGCCCGAATTTGAAGACACACCCATAAAGCGGTGCCTGTTTCACTCAGACCCTTTGACTTTTGGTACCGACACAATTGTATGGGCCGTGCGATAAAAAAAAAAAAAAAAAAAAAACCTGGCAGTAGAATGCAATGCTGCGAGACCAAGGACCAGGGTGGGCCAACCACAGGCACTAGACTATTCGATCACTTCAAATGACTCGGTTGGTATCACGAAAAATCCGCAGAATTCCGCAGACCCATGTTCCACAACAATGTCGGAATCAGTCTGGTACAACTTATGGCAACACACCCAAGGTGTCAAATCTGAATGGCGACACCCAGCACCAAACGCACAACTGCCACTACGACAAAGCCCAGGCCTCCAAAGTAACACGGAAACAAAAGGAAAAAAATAAAAAAAAATATCAGATGTCTTTGCCTTGCGTCTGGCTTACGTACAGAAACAATGAAACGTCAAAGCAAGTGAGGTTTGCTGCTGACACAATCTCTTGCCACCATCATTCGCACTTGTTTCTGAGAAACGATGGTGAGCGCCAGGTGCACGCAGCCTGCAGGAACAAATGCCGCGCAGCTTGTGGGGGCTGCCTGCCAACTGCCTCCGAGTTTGCCACCACAAACAGCACTGGCCAAGCTTGAAATGGGGAAAGCAGCTGTGCCGTGGTCAAAACTCTCTATGGTCTTCATGTTTCCTCAGTAGAAACCCTGAAACTGGGTTGTCTGCAACACACCTTGTAAAAACATGGCCCCACCAGCCCCTACTGTTTTGGTGTGTGCCACTGCGGTAACCTCAAAAAGGACACATCCATCTGGCTGTGTTTTGACCCATCGGCACATCTGCCCGTCGATACCCCTACGAGTCGGATCACATGAGCTTCACATGAGCTTCACCACTACCCCGGACACCAGCAGCAAGGAAGTGAGCTCCATGCTCTGGTCGATGAGCGTATGCGTGAGCCGCTTGCCCTGAATTTCTGAAAAATGCGATTCGGAAAAAGCCCCTTTTGGGTTGGTATCGAAAAGAAACCAAAAGGAAAACCACAACTTTTGGGGGCCCCTATTCTTCAGGAAGAGAGCAGCTACCCCCCCCAAAGCCACCCCCCCCAAATGAATAAGCATCAATCCTGCGCAGCCAAGCAGCGTGAAGGGGGAATAAGCCTTATTAAGCCTTGTTAAGCCTTGTTAAGCCTTACTAAGCCTTATTAAGCCTTATTAAGCCTTAATAAGCCTTATTTACCGGTTATCGAAGGTGGCTTAATAAGGCTTAATAAGGCTTAATAAGGCTTAATAAAGCCCAAACAAGCCCTGCCATTTCGGCAGCCTAAAGGCCATGGTCACACCGCAACTGCTCTGCATGTGTAGCGCCATTTAGAGGCCCCCTCTTTTCAAAATGGGTGAGAGCAGGCGCGGTCCCAAAAGAGGCCCCAGGGGTGCGTGGTCAAGCCTTATTTTTTTTTGGGGGGGGAGCTTCAAAATTGTGCTATTCGCACAATTCTGGAGCTCCCCCCCCAAAAAAAAATAGCACGATTTACAGGAGCCCCAAAAAAGTGCTGAAACAGGGCCTGAAGAGAAACCCTGAAGCCTGTGCGGCGCGTGCCCGGAACACGTGTCATCTCACTCTCTCATGATTCCTGAAACCTCAGTCAGTTGAGAAGGAGCGTCTAGCCCTTATTCTTTTCGAGGGGGTAGCTGTAGCTCATCACTACCTGAATTCTGAGAACCAAGTTAAGGCAAACCTGAGGATTTGTCATGCAAACAATCGCAGGGCGTCTTTGTAAACCTTTCTGGAGGAGATACAAGGGGTCGTTTTGCCACAGAAATCATCGAGTTGTTTTGGCAGAAATCGATCCCCGGCCGTGCAATCGCCGCCTCCCAAAAGGAGTGGTGGCAGTAGGCGAGGATCAGAGGGTAGCCTAGGAGCGCCAGCTTCCATGCGTCCCAGACGGTGTTCACCTTCTGAGATGTAAACAGCTGCCAGAAGAACCAGGACTTGATGGCCTAGCCGCTCGGAAGAAGACGAGAAGGCAAAAGCAGGGAGCTTTTTTAAACAAAGGGCGCTGTTCCAAGCGGGGATTTGCAACCAAAACGTTTGACTGGTGAAGGGGACACTGAAGGAAACCAAGCATCTTAGGGGACGATCCTATTTCGAGAAACGCCAGTAAAGCGAAAGCAAGAAGGAAAGGGAGGGGAAAGATGGGTAGGACAGGCAAAGGCAGGGAAGTTACGGGAGGCAGGGAAGGCAGGGAAGGCAGGGAAGGCAGGGAAGGCAGGGAAGGCAGGGAAGGCAGGAAAGGTAGGGCAAGGGCAAAAGCATTGTCAGTGCTTGGATATAGCATGAGTTGACATGCATGTCATGTCAAGCCATGTGGTGTGTGTGTGTGATGTGAAATGCAATGGTAATGCTTGCAATGGTATGTAAGAAGCCATGACGGCGCGTGGTCTGATCTGGATAAAGCTATACGATGGTAATTTTGATACATTGGATGTGGGATCACCTACATGTCATTCTGGCAACGCGTGCCACATGACTCTACATGGTGTCAAGAAAGAAGGATAAGACATGAATGATCCCTGGTATGGGTATCTCTTCAAATATGAGACCCTTGAAATTGCTGGTTTCCGTTGGTCTCCCTTTCAATCAATCCGAGAAAGGGATGAGGAAAAAGCCACCCACCCGTACGCAAACAATTTGCGGTGCCTGGCAAAAGGCCGAGCTGGCGTAGCTACACTCCATGGAGTATGGCCAGCGCTTGGCCACTGCCTCCTCAAACTTCCCCTCGAGGCCCCGAAACTCCTCGGAACAGCTTGCATCCTACGTGTCACATATGTGTACGCGCGGGATTGCTGTTGTATATGATACATGTGCATGCGTGATGCGCCTGCATGATCTGAATGAATGTTTGTATGTGTGTATGAATGCGTGCACGTACGCCTGCCTGCCTGCCTGCCTGCCTGCTGCCTGCCTGCCTGCCTCCCTGCCTGCCTGCCTGCCTGCTTGTCTGTCTGTCTGTCTGAGAAGATGAACTTGATCACAAGAAAAGGACATACTTGACGACGGGAACAAAGGGAGGACAATACTTGATCAGAGGAAGGGGCCGTGGCAGACGGGCCTTCCAGCCGGACTTGCGGAGCGTCCGACAGCCCGCACCTGCTCCAAAGGAAGAGAGGAAGGACGGACCACAGGAACTCGGAAAACGTGCAATGAGGGCTCACTGGCGCCGGCCAATGCCTCGAAGCTCAAGTTTTGGCTACTGAAGGCAAGACTTCTGGAAGTGTGATCATTTGCTAAAATTCCAGCGCGTCATATTGGGCTCGGACGGGGTGAACAGCAACTGAGGGGAGATGGGATGAGTTGGGGTGAGCAGTTGCTGCTTCTGGCCTGTAGCTTGGCAGCTTCTCAGCATGAGCTTCGGAGGGCCCGAGGCTCGGAGCACCAAACATGGGCACAGGCTCAGCCCAGCTCCGCGCAGACCATGGCCGGCCCGTTGGCCAGGCGGAACGCCATGGTGACCAGCGGAACCGAAAAGACGCTTGCGAGCCGGACTTGCGCACTCAAGCCTTCCACCGAGTTGACACCAGCTACAAGGTGAGTCAACACACAAAGCATTGCCATTCATGGGGCCAGCCTGCTACTCCGGGTCGCGTTCGCGGACCGACGCCAGTCAACAAATAGACTGCCCATTCATCCGTTTTTGGCGTTGAAGGGCCGCAATCGGCTCAAGACCACCACGCGCCTATGCCAGGTTTGTTGCCAAGCTTCCCGGCTTCCTTCAAATCAGAACATTCGCGTGCTTTCCAATTGCTGTGGCAGAACGAATCACAAAACAGTGGTGCACAAGACTCACCCAAGCGATTGCAGCAACATGTTGCCCAACATGTTGAACCCAAGCAAGTAAATCCCATCAGTCTTCCTTCTTTCTGAGGGCTGCGATTGGCTCTTTCTTTCTTTCTGTCTTTCTTTCTTTCATTCTTTCATTATTTCCTTCTTTCTTTCTTTCTTGCTTGCTTTCTTTCTTTCTTTCTTTCTTTCTTTCTTTCTGTCTTTTCTTTCTGTATTTCCTTCTTTCTGTCTTTCTTTCTTTTCTTTCTTTATTTCCTTCTTTCTGTCTTTCTTTCTTTCTTTCCTTCCTTCCTTCCTTCCTTCTTTCTGTACTTTCTTCTTTCTTTCTGTGTTCTTTCTCTATTTCCTTCCTTCTTTCTGTCTTCCTTTCCTTCTTTCTTTCTTTCTTTCTTTCTTTCTTGCTTGCGTGCATTCTTTCTTTCTTTCTTGCTTGCTTTCTTTCTTTCTTTCTTCTGTCTGTCTGTCTTTCTTTCTTCATGTATTTCCTTATTTATGTCTTTCATTTTCCATTTATTTCTTTCTTTTCTTTCTTTCTTTCTTTCCTTCCTTCCTTCCTTCCTTCCTTCCTTCCTTTCTTTCTTTCTTTCTTTCTTTTCTTTTCTTTTCTGTTTTTTCTCTTCTTTTCTTTCC